AAACATTTGTATGTGCATGTGCAAAAAATTAGATAGCAGTCGGGTTTTTTCTCTGCAGCTCAGGTCAGGTTCAACAGAAACAAAATAACCTCATACTACGTACATGTAAACTTAATTAGGAACAGCAAAGAAACTTTGTGAGTACCTCTGTCTAAATGTTTGCCTGACAGCAAGCAGAGTGACATTATTTAATAAAGAAGCAACAGAGAACAAACATTTACTGTGCTACCTTAACTTCTGATAGTCTTTCTAATGCTTAGCGGTCTGTAAGTGCCATTCTGGCACTGGGTTTCTCAGAAAATAAACAAGTGTTTTGAAATAAATGTGTAGGTTGTTGCTTAAGACCTAAGACTCGGTAGATTTTTTAAGCGATCTAGGCTCAGAGCTGCTTTCATTTCTGATATATTGAAAGAGTGACACGATGTGTGTGTGTTTTTTTTAAGAATTAGACCTCAAACAACTTGATGATAACATCAATAGCCATTTTTAAAGCTGTTGATAGAAACAAACAGCTTGTTTTGTAGCTACAAACAGCTAAAGATCTGATCGATTTTAAGGATCCCTGTAAAATATTCTAATATAAGAATATTTGGTGCTGTTTCGTTCTCGTAAAAAAGGTTTAATTAACATCTGAACGAACAAAAACCAGTGATGCAAATTCCAGACACAGGAGTCAGCGCAACACTGACGAGAGAGCAAGACAAAGACCCTTAACTCCTGCCACATTACGCTCTTGTTGACAGCATCCACAACACTAACTTGAAGAACAAAAAGGCAACAATTCAACCTACTTTCAATGTTAAACTGTTGATGGATTTTTACTCCGTATTTCTTAAAGACTGTAATATTCAGAGTCAAACACAGAGAGTCGAACAGCAGCCCACCGACCGCCTGACATTGGGGTTTGTTTACACCGACCAAGCGAGCTGGCTAGTCCCCTACAAAGAGCTGCTACCTCCGAAAGAAGCCAGAAAACTCTTAAACCGAGCTTGTGAGCTTTTTGACAGCTCGCCAAGACGAACTGTCTGCATTTTAACAGTTAAAATAGTGTCTCTCTGAAGGAAACAAAGCCTCACAAAGAGAAAGAAGAGCTGTGTTTTGTAGCTGGCTAACAGATTATGATCCTCTGTTGTTTTGACAGCCTGAATTAGCTGGATAGCTGCGCTGCTAGCTGGCAGCGTACAACCAAGAGAGGCGCTAACCGTGCGTTTAAAAAGAAAAGTCCATGGTCAATTCTAGAGTCCGAAACAAGGCGTAATTACATTTAAATAATTATCTAGAGCTGTAAAAAAAGAATTTTTATATTGACCTGGTCCTGGTGAATGGGGAGGAATCCGCGTTGTTTAGTTAACTGAGAGTTGTTGTCGTTCCGTTCTCCTCCTTTAGACTCTAAACATGAAGTGACTGCTGTTACACCACACTGGAATCACAGGCTTCCGAAGGAGGGGCCGTCACCGTGACGCTCCTCGCAAGAGCGGCAGGGAGCCAATCAGAGCGGTCGATGAAAAAGATAACCAATTACAGTCGACCAGGAACAGGAAAAAGAGAGCCTGAGGAACATTTTTGTAGTCTCTTACCACTTATTACGAGCTCAGTCTGTATAGAACAGTTTTAAAATATATACATACATGTGTGTATATATTTAAACTTGTATACATTAAGAAAGTAAACATATTTTTTGTCCGATAATAACTTAGATTAACGGCGACATTGTGGACTACTCAAAATCGCACGTTTTCTTGTCCTACTGGCATTCTTAACAGCAGAACATTTAACTCACTACTGTACGTGATGTACGTCATAAAACGTACGTCAAGATCAAAGTCTGACATGTTACCGTTTATTTGTATTCGCAAAAATGTTGAGAAAGTAGAATATTTGCTGAAAATAAGTAAAAAGGCACAATAATTGCCATAATATTGTGAAGAGAAATTGAGAATTCAGATGTTTGAGCTAAACTGATGTAGTAAACAAATACTCCAAATGGCCACACATGGGTTTGTATCCCTTTTCTAGTTTCTGTAGATAACATCATATCCTTTTGAAACCATTCTAAATATGCTTCCATGGCTTAATGTCCACCATTTAATTAACAGAATTGAGACAAGCATGGTTTAAAACAGGCATATTTTATGTGTAATAGTAGTAAAAGAAAATTAGTAATTTGACATGCTTAGAGCTGTGTATTTATTTTTGCACTAATGTTGACAGAAGGTTGTCAGTTAAAAACTAGTTTGGCAAGTATCTGCCATGTGGGAACTGAGCAGGTTTCTGTGCTGTACTAGCCTTAAACTTTATGTTATCCTGAAGCTGAGAGTGACATTTCCATGTTTCATACAATAACTAATTTTTAATATATTGGAGGAAAATCATATCAAGGTCTTGGGCAAAAGCGTTACTTTAATCCCTCTCCATGTTTCATGAAGCAACACAGAACAAACATAGTTGTGGTAGTAAAGTAAATACATGTTTATTTGCCAAGAGATTTTTGCAAATCAGACCACTGCTGGAAGTTCAGCCCTCTCCCCCTCCCCCCGCTACTCAGGTTAATCGAGTGCACAGACTTAGCAGCATTAAACATGTTTGTCAACTCCTTCAGCAGAAACGTTTTTGGTTTCATGCAAGGTGAGGCCACAAAATGCCATTTAAAGGATGTGGTTTTAAAATGTTGAAAATCCTGCTGCGATTTGCTTTTACCAAGGCAGACACTCGTCTCCGAGTGAAAAAAGAATGATCTCACTCCTTTAGCACTATGACTGTTGTGTGTGCCGTGTTGGCCACGGTGTTTTATCTTATCTGTTTGATTAGATAAAATGATTATCTCTAAGGTTTTATTGACAGTACTTCAACCTATTTTTGTCTCATTGGAGGAATTGGGAAAATAGGTTTACAATCTCACAGATTATATTTCACAGATAGTAGTGATGTGGCAACCTTATACTGACCCATAATAAATGTTTTTTTTTTTTTTTTACTAGTGATCACCTGAACACTTTCAGCAGATTAAAATAAAGTCAGAGGGCATTGACAAAACACCATACACTTCTTGAAGCCCATTGGAAATGACAGTGAAGATTATTATTTTTGCCTTTTTGCGTCTGTGCCTTTAAATAGGGCCATAAATAACTCAAAATCACAGGGAAAACACCTCCTGTAGTACCGTAATTAACCTGTGTTCCTATTGTCTAAGCCAATGGAACGGTTTATTTTTCAGTAATTAAACTGTCTGATTGCGACTTCACTTTGCTCTGTTAATCAGGCATTTAAACACAGTACACTCTCGTGGTTGGAGCCATTGATTTTTTTTTAAACACTATAATTGATGAACCCTGAGAGTTCTGTGCTGGGAACTTCATGTCCTCATGTCTGACATCAAACATTCCTGGTTTGGTTCAACCAGTTTCCCTGAAGACAACAGAAAGTGCTGGACAATAAGCAAAAACCTACGATATTTAGCTTGATTGTTGTTGTTTTTTTTTTGTTTGTTTTTATGATGAAAAGCAGACATATATATATATATATCTATATATATATGTGTGTGTGTGTGTGTGTGTGTGTTTAAGTCAATATATTCCAGAGTCTAAGTGAAACAAATTAATTTGTATTTTATTTCAGGTAATAGAAGAAATCTTCTGTTACCGAACAGGGACCTTTGGCTTCACAGCCCACCGTTGAAATCACTGTGGTGGTGAATGGTATTGCCGTTTGTTTGCGTCATGTTGATTTCCAGCCACAGCATGTCTGCTTTGTTAATTCGAATCCAGCATTTAAAAAAGATGTTTCTTTGTTGCCCTGCCTAGTCCTCTGTGGGAACTTGGGTCCTCACCACTCCTTGGATAATGTGGACATAATCCGCTGCCACACAATCGACCAGCTGGAGCAACAGGCTCAGCTTGGCAACTGTAGAGGTTATTATGGTCCATGTGTGAATTTCTGCTGCAGAAATGTTAGCATAATAAATCCCAAAGCACAACATTTACACACAAAAGCTAAGTTGAACACAGTCATACCTGCACTCATTAACTGTGTTCTGTTGACCTAACCCTCCATGTTCTTGGAATGTGGATGGAATGTGGATTATCTGTTGAAAACCCGCCACCCACAGTGAGATTATGCAAAAATAAAAAAAAATAAAAAAGACAAATTACAACACGGATTCCAACCAATGATCTACTTGCTTTTAACAGTAGCTAGGGATGTCCCATAATATCGGCTCGATATTAGCATATTATGTAATATCTGTAAAAATTGTTATTGGTTCGGATAATGGAAACCCAATAACGCAATACCAGGGTTTTGTCAAATGATGTGTGCCCTAAAAATAATTTTGGGGATAAACTGGCTCTATATGAAAGTGAAAGTCAATTGATGGCAGCATTGCAGCTCATTTAATATTGATGACAGCATTGCAGCTCATTTAATTAATCTCAGACTCTTACGTGGTTTGTAAAGATAAATAAATAAGTATTACCAGGCCTATATAGGTATTGGTAATCGGAAATTAAGTGTTCAGACAATATCGGATATAAGCAGACATCCTTAGTAGTAGCCGATCGGACATCCCTACTAGTAACCTAGTAACCACTTCATTAGGTGAATGAAGTGATTGCTGATGATATGACAGTCTTTTAATGCATTTAGACATGCAAACACAGACAAGATAACCTGCGAAAGGAAAGTAAGCTACACCAACTGGACAACAGAAGATTGGATAATATTATCTGGGTTATGCTAATTTAAAAAAAACAAACATTACATTTGGAGGCTCCTGCTTCAAACTTTGTTTGTCCAACTAATTCTATGTTCTATGTTAAATGTTTTTAAAAAACATGTTAACAGTTAAAGATCTGAAAAGGAATGAGAGATTTTGCACCGACTTGTACGAAGCTGACAGATACAAGTAGGCATTCGAGTGTTTTGACACATGAAACAATGGCAGCAGAACCAGCTCTAACGGATTACACCTAAACACACACCCAAAGTCGGAGACTGTCGTTAACACCCTAATTTAACGGACACAGAGTTAATGGTGCGGCACACATGACATACAGTAAACCGCCACCAACACTGCCACACCTTAAGAACCATCCACGCCTTAAACTCCTGTTCACAGGTAATGGAACGTTTTAATCCTAATCACACAATGACTAACACAAATTGGATTTTGGATTCTGATGTGTCAGAGGTTGACATATGTAAAACATGTAATCAAAGCCATAAAGAGAAACATCAATATCAATATTAATAATTCTATCATTTGGATTAGTCATGAATAAAACAGGTGTGAAACAAACAACTCTCCCTGCTGTTATTTCTCCTTCTGTTCCAGCAACAAAAAGAAAAATGTTTTTGTCATACTTGGAACAATTTACCTTGAATAATTGTGATTAATCACGATTAATCCACAGCTATCTTATGATTAATCTGATTAAATCATAAGATAGCTCGAATCATTGGACAGCTCCAGTATAAATGAAGTAGCCTATACTGTATAGACCCAGCTGCTTGGTTTGCTTACAAGATCTGGCAACCCTGTCAACAAGCAATCCGGTTGTGTGTCTCTATTTTGCATCTCATGAAGGACTCCCAGTCATGGTTACTGGGCCTCTGCCCTGTTAGTGGTTTCAGGTGTGGCTACTGTAGACAGTCATATCACAACATCTATACCTCCACTGAGCCACAGTCTGCAGTAACAGTAGACAAAAGTATTAGAGTATTTGCATTCTCTTGGATATGTATGAGCGTCAAAGGGTGTCACACAGCCAAACGTGTATGTGTGTGTGGGACTGTGTGTAGGCTGAACGTTAGCTGGCCTGAGTTTTAAAAAAGCCCATGATGGAATGAGTGTCTGAGACTGAGAGTTGGATCTTGTGAGACTTGAGTGGGTTTGAAGGAGACAGATGGAGCGTGTGAATGAAGCAGGAATACATTTTGGGTAAAGACTATAAATATACAGTCAGTGTGTGTGTGAGAGCCAGAAAAGTCAGCTGTGTCTTTGTCGACTTCATCTGATGCAGATCAGAGACCTGACTACACACACACACACACACACACACATTTTACATAGACATAAATCACTCCCTAGCGCTCTATGCTAACATTTACTTTTACGAATATATATGTCTCACATCACATCTGGCTTTTACTGTAATCCCACCTTAATCTTAATCTTTACTCTAAACCAAATCTTCCATCATAAAATACCCTCTCACTCAGGGGGCACCTGCAAAGTGCCCTAACAACAATGGCAGTATTAAAAATCCAAACGGCCCGCATCTGGCCCTCAGACCGTAGTTTGCCCATACATGGGCTAATCTCACTGACGAACTGGCTACGCAGACCAGCTCAAAGCTAGAGAACATACCACAGCGCTACAAGGTGTTAGCGAGGGTCAGAGAAAAGGAAAAGAATATTATTATATTATTATAGAAAATCCATATCAATCATTACTTAACCAGGTGGTAACATGTGAATTCCTTCTCCCAGGAGGAGGAACTGTTGCCAAAATTCCACAGTTGCTGCAGGAGCCAGAACTTGGTTTTCCTTACTTTAATTTTATTGGTAGCAAATTTTCAACATTTTGCAGAAGATATGATTTTTTTCTGGCCTAAAGCTCTAATATGAAAGTGTTTTTTTTCTTCTGGCCTAAAGCTCTAATATGAAAGTCCCAATGAGTTGACTTTGCTGAAATAATAGTTGATCTGTGGTTGGATGTCCTCAGGTGTCCTGTGCTGTGCAGCTGCCCTGCAGAGCTGACGCTGTTACAAACATTCCTCTTATCTCCCTCTCTGCAGCTTCCACTGCGTTCTCTCTCTGGGCACACAGTTAGCAGCACACAGGGAAAAGAACGTGTCCAGCTGCTGGACCCTACACTGCCCTCAGACACCGGGACGGAGGTAAAGGTCGGGATTAATGAGTCCAGTTCAGATCCCTGCGGTTCTTACCTGCAGGACCTCAGATGTTCACGTCCATCTGGCTGCTGGTTCAGACCAAAGCTGAGAGCAGTCTCTCCTGCACCGCTAACAGCTGGAGCTAATAGACGTCTGCAACAAATCATCCTGGTCTCCAGTCCCTGAACATGGCCGACCTCTGCTCTTGACCAGTGTCAACACTGCACCGTCGCTGTTGTCAGAAGGACTGTGATGGGACAGAGTTAGAAAACAAAAGACAACTTATAACGTTTGTTTTTTCCTTTTTTAAAACTTTTATATCTTATTTTTTATCTTTGATTTTTTGCTGTATTATAGTTTTCCATTTCCTTCTTTTTGCTGAATAATTGGCTACATCTGTAGCTGACTATTAATTGTTTTTAACCAAATGCTATGACTAAATGCAAACATTTCATTGTGTTTATTCATAAGCGTCGTTTATTTAGCTAACTCAGGTTTTTTTTAAACATTTTTTTATTTGTTCCTTTATGTTTTATAAATGCAGCTTTTCACAAAATCTGTTTTTTTATTTGTTCCTTTATAAATGCAGCTTTTCACAAAATCTATTAAAATTATACAAATGTTACATTTCTCTTGTAGTTTTTAAAGCTTTTTATTTAACCTTTTGTAGAAATCTTTTCAAATGTGTGTGACTTACTCCACCAGTTCGGCTGAGTAATTTTTTTTTTTTTTTTGCAACTGAAAGAATTTGTTCAAATGCACATTTCTACAGTTTTCGGTCTCCCAGCAGGAGCAGCTGCCCCTCAGCTGTTATCACATCAACACATGTGAGAATAGAGGCGGTTTTATCTGCCTGGTCTTGAAAAACAGTTAGAAAACCCTGGACCTGAGGCTGAGGAGCTGCAGACAAACAGATGGAAGAGCCTGATGTTACTGTCCCTTCGTCTACTGCTGTACGAGCAAATTACGCCTGAAGTGTTTGGGAATCATCTCATAAAAGATATGAAGTATAATTCTGCTCTGCGGCATTCTTAATGAGCAGGTTTTAGGAGGTTTAATACCTTCCCCCGCTGAGGGAGCAGATGGTTGTCAGGTGAGGAGGATTTGACACTTTCACTGGTCGCATCTAAAACACACACAGACCATGATAGAGCACACTAATAACTGCCTTCAGAACCATTACCTGTGGTCAGCGGTTGTGGGAAACTAATAAAAAACGGGCGAGACTGGAGACACAAACACACAGCAACACAGTCAGGTGAGGAGGATTACACAGAGACAGGACTGCAGGTCAGTCATACCACTGTGGTCAGAAGAATAATCCAATTAGTGTTGAGCAGCAAAAAGTAATGGGATTGTGGGAGAGGTCACTGCAGACCTGATTAGCCTCCACTGTGTCCAAGAGCATCTAAGATTCAAGGTGCTCCTGGTTCGTGGTCGGAGCGGCTTCAGCCATTGGTCCAACTGTCGAGACATGATCAGGTCAAATGATCAAAGAACCATGTGTATTAGTGATTTGTTTTTTTCGATTGGAAAATGGCGCCATCACGTGTCATTTAGAAAGTGTCTTAGTGTGGAACCTGAATTTTTAGGGCAGTCGGAATGAGTGTGTCAACTGCGATAATTAATTTAGGATAGTTGATTTATTGCAATTAATCTCGAGTTATTGCATTTAATCTTGATTAATTACGATAAATCAACTGATAGAGTAATCACACTGTAATTTTGTAAACGTTTGGCATATACATATACATGCACATATGGGCATACGGAAACACACACACGTACATATACAGTATCTATATAACTAGCCAAATATATATGGCTAATTATACACAAATGATAAACTTTATTATTTTTGGTGTTCTTTCCTACTAAAATGACTAATCTAAGCTTTTCTCAATTTTTTTCTTTCTTTATTGAGAAGGATCAGTCTGTTAGAACTGTATTAGTTAATGAAGACAAATGTCATCTGTGGTTGTTGAACTTGTTGTCTGTGGCCATGGAGCCAGAAGACAAGGTGGAGAAAGTTGATCATTTTAAAGAACACAGCACACAGCCTCAGGGTGGTAGTCTAGTTTATCAAAAGAATACACCATAATACTCACGTATAAAACATAGAAAATAGAGAATGGCAAACAATAATAAAATATACTTTCTTTTCTGATCTACTATTTTTTAGTTGTAATAAAATGCAGTCCGTTCTTATCTGTGTCCACCACAAACAGGTTTTGACACAGTGTGATAATATGCGGAGCCGGGGGCCAACCCACACCACGGGGGCTTCTTACTGTTGACTTTACAAGTTGCATAACAGCGCGACACGAGCGGCTGGGCTGGCGGCGGAGGCCGTGTCTCGGAGTGCGATTCATTAAGGCAGATACAGCACATTAATCTCACTAATGGAGGTTTCTGCTCGCTGCGCTGTCAGCTGAAGGTCAAACCAGACGGGCTGCCCGTGTGAGCTGCTTGTTCAAACAGCCGGCGTGTCAAGATGGCCGACGCGGTGCGTCTGGTGAACCTGCGTGTGTGCACGCTTGTCGGGGTCAGAGGCGGTGGAGATCTCCAGGCGTCCAGGTGACAGCAGGAGTCGGAGTGCGGAGCGCTGTCTGTCGCTCATTAGTCTGTGTGGATTTAAAGGTTAAGTGTTTGTTGCTGCACCTGAGCATCAAGACTGCGAGCTGGACGCTCTACTGCTGGAGTTCCCTGTCCCAGCTGTGGAGGTTGAACTCTTTAATAATTATATTTTATTCACTTCTTCAACCTTTCAGTCCCCAGAAATACAAATCCTCTTCGTTTCCCTCCTGAACAAACCGAACCAACCAGTCCTGCAGTGTCAACTGAACTCACACGTGTTGAGGAATTTCTCAACCGGGGTAAAAGTTGGAAAAAACAAAGTCTTTGAATGAACGAGACATGGAGACACCACCGCCATGGAGTTCCATCAGGTCCGAACTGTGTCTCCGGCTCACAGGAGTCCCTTTAAATAACGGAGCAGATTTGTAGGTTTTATTTATTATTTCATTATATATTTATTTCCACGTCCTTTCACACGATAGTAATATGTCTCCTCAGGGAGCAGCAGTTCCACCTTCATCTGCCGGCCAGTTATTCAGTCCTCTTGTGATTCCTTTTGCCTCCTCCATTCCTCTTCCTGTCAGGGTTGTGATTAGGATTTTCCATGAAAAAAAGGCCGAAGTGATGATGCGGACCAATGGGAAAACAGGAATTTTACAAATCAAG